TGTATTGCCATGGTGCAAATTGTTATGAAACAAGAAAAACGCAACTAGAGAAAAAGGAATTGTTTAGTCGTTGATGATGATGATGATGATGATGATGATGATGATGATGATGATGATGATGATGAAGATGATGATGATGATGATGATGATGACGATAATGATGACGATAATAATGATGATGATGATGATGCCAAAGACACTTAATCTGAAAGCGAACTCCCCAGTCGTATTTTTTTCCCCTCCCAATTCGAGTATTCTCCAAACGACAGCGAAGCGCCTAACTCAACTGCTACATCACAGATCTGATGTCTGTAGCATGGTCCCTGAGTCGCTGAGACCTTGATACAACAGTGTATTTATTGGCCACAGATAAAACACTCAACAACAGCACATAGCTTCCCGAGAAGTGGAGGCGCCAAGAGAGACCCAGCGATTAACTCTTTTAGATCGAAACGGACGCACGCATAATTATTATATTACGCATGATAAGAAGACAAAAAGACCATGTTGTGGTACAATCCGAATAGTCATACGCGAATCAAAAATACAAATTTGAGTCTTTTAAAGTGAGAATAATGTTGTCTAATATAACGCCTCTAAGGTACCGTTCCAGATAAATAAAATCGAATTGAAGAAATATGTGTGGGTAACACCGTTAGGCTTCTTTTTTATTATTATTATTATTATTATTATTATTATTATTATTATTATTATTATTTTTATTATTATTTTTATTATTATTAACTAGTCTAAACACATTGCACCTGCGTTATTGAATAAGCAGAATGCGCCCCCGTCAAAGAATCAAAGAGTTAAAAGAGCAGGGAGATTCTGTACAAGGACCTTCACCTAAGGACTTCCCTCTCCGGCGCTGATAAATATGTGCTGTGCCCGAACTTGTTGATGATTAGTTTGGGTCAAAGTAACGGTAAAAGTAGACTTGAGACCTACATTCGGAACTTACTTGAACGTCTACGTACATCCGACCCACTCTCTGTGGTAGATCTACCACATCGGTCACGTCATGCGCGAAATACGTTTTTAACTTATTTTTAAATAAGGTATAAAATATTACTTTAGCCAGAGTAACCATATAATTATACCCCAGACATTTCAGTTAAGCTAGACATCTCAAATAAACACAGATTTGTTTTGAGAAAAAGAAAAACCATTAAAATTTATTTTAAAAGGGCAGAAAATTAAGGAAAAATATTGATTCAAAAGCAATACGATTTGGATAGTACCGTTAACAACATCAATTAAATTGTATTGTCATTAAAGATAGGCTATTCCTTTTCCAGAAGGCTGTCAACCTCGCTGTCTTTCAAATTATTGTTACCAAAACCATTTACCGTGGTCGATTGTTCCAACAAACAAGAATCATGGCATTGAGATGATAATGCAATTGTTCTTAGAAGTACGTCATTTAAGAAGCATGCAAACCAACGTGAAAATCTTATTGAAACATAAAAGTTGGCTCTGAATTATCTGATTCAGTTTCAGGTTAAGGTCTCATCGATGATTACATACATAATGCATTCCTATAGGGCGGAGCAATCAATTTCTTGGACCGAATCGATAAATGATAGATAAAGCAAGTACTCAGAAATGCACACTACATTAAGAATAATTATCATTTAGAAGCATTTTCACTCTTTAGAAAACGTAGACTGTTCTTTTGAACGATCACGTGCTCACAATTATTTGTGAACGCATGTGTGTGTTTGTGTGTGTGTGTGTGTGTGTGTGTGTGTGTGTGTGTGTGTGTGTGCGTGCGTGCGTGCGTGTATGTGTGTGTGTGTGTACTGCGAGGTCGTGTGTTCGTGTGTATGTTTGTGTGTGTGTGTGTGTGTGTTCTGTGTGTTCTGTGTGTGTGTGTGCTGCTGTGTGTGTGTGTGTGTGTGTGTTGTGTGTGTGTGTGTGTGTGTGTGTGTGTGTGTGTGTGTGTATGTATGTGTGTGTGTGTTTGTGTGTGAGATTGTGAGAGCGATTGGGCGTACAAGAATGCGTGTATCCATGCTCGACAGATTACACATCAGCATAGCTCGGCAAGGAGTTTCCAAGAAAATAAAACTTGTGAGGCAGCGTGGTGGAATCAGGCTCTCGGCAAAATAATGAAATCATAGATATTGGCATTTTTCTGCTCGTTTGGCAATTTTTATCAAATTTTTGTTGTTAAGCTCAACAGCTTTTATGTCCATTTAAAAACTCATTTCTGTGTGGAGTATTCCGAGAAACGTTGATTGAAGGTACAAAAAAATGTAAATTTTCAGTTTTCAAGGGCTCTCACGCCTTGAAAGATTTCAAGCTTTGGCGGTCATTTTCTCCCTCATTTTTTCTCTAAAATCAGGTTACCCTACCTACTTCAATCAAAACTATTTCGACTTCTATTAAAGATAAATGGGTACTTTTTTCACCAAAAGACAGACAAATGAACAGGCTTTAAGATGACATCAATAACTCCACATGCCCAAAAATTGACGAGTGCCTGATTCCACCACGCTGCCTCACAAATGTAAAATTGTACCACCCTCTTACAGCGACAGGAGCTTTAAATTA